CACGATATGTATAACAAAGAATTCTGAATTACGAATATTTGATGGCATTTTCATATCACTTTGAACAGAATAAGGACTATTCTAAATTTTGTCAAAATGTAAAGATACATTTGAAAGATGTATTAGCTCCTCCTCAGCCATAAGCTCTTCCATGCCTGCAGCTTCCTCCTCAGTCATAGGTTCCTCCTCGACGGCCTCGTCGGCCTTGACCATGAAGGGGTAAGTGTAAGGGAAGCTGTAGGGGAAGGTGTTGGGGAAGGTGTTGGGGAAGGTGTGGGGGTAGGTGTAGGTTTGGGGGAGATTTTGACCTGTCGAAGGAGGAATATTTAGCACGATATGTATAATAAAGAATTCTGAATTACGAATATTTGATGGCATTATGATATCACTTTCAATAGAACAATTTTGTCAAAATGTAGAGATACATTTGAAAGAGAAAATGTTTTGAGTATGAGACTGACCGTAGGGGTAGACGAGGGGCACGGTGCTGGCAGGGGTATGTGCCTTGGCAGAGTTGACGACGGGGTAGGAGGAGTGGACGTATGGATGGCCGTAGGAGTAGACGAAGCCGGGGTGAGGAGAGGGCATGGCAGCAGCACAGGCCGCCAGAGCGAGAACCAGCTGTTACGATGTTAAACAGTGCATCAAATGTATGAAACATATTTTCCCATGGAGGCCGCACCATGAATGTTCTATGGCTTAGTGTCCTATTCTTATTGAAAATACAAATTGAAGGATTCATAATTTTAGTCACAGCGAGATCTTACCACAACCTTCATGATGAATATTCGTCTTGAGGAATCCGAGATGGACGACTGACAGCTGACTAGGCTCGTCGCAGGCTTATATACGCAGTCCATAGTAAGGGGAACAAATGGTGACGTCATTTATGGAGTTACTACGTTTGAGTTTTTCGCGTTCCTTAAGAAAACAAGCTTTTGATTATTTGTTTATTATAAGTACTGTGATCTTAACATGTTTGCCAACTATTTTTAGTAAAGAAATGTTGATATACCTAAGGCTTATTTACAGTAATGATCATCCATAAATTGATTATAATTAGAGAAAAAATGTTTAACTATGACCACAACCGTTCTCGTACGAACGGACCAGACCGGTAGTACGGAACTATCAGCCATATCAAATATTAGTGTCATCGTCATGAAAATTAGTCCCGGGGAGCATTGCACTTCCTACAGATTCCGAACCTTCCTTAGCCTGTAGGCGCTGATAATGATCTATTAATGCCAATATACTTCATCAGTACCATTTTCCAGAAAGTCCCACTACGATGAGACAATGTTCAGTGTGATTCAAAATCGAGATTTTCAAATTACTCCTTGGCCTACAGAAAACCCCCCTCCCCCCTCATGGGTTTCAGATCTTGAACTCATTGTTTATATATACATACATACATGCGTATATATATATATATATAATATATATATATATATATATATATATATATATATTATATGTTTATATGTGTGTCTGTATGCATGTACAGACAAACTCACATATACATCAATATGTATGTATATGTATATAAATATCTGTATACATGTATACATACATACATACATATATATATGAATATACATATATATACATATATGAATATATGTACATAAATACGCACACATACACACACACACACACACACACACACACACACACACACACACACACACACACACACACACATATATATATATATATATATATATATATATATATATATATATATGTTTATATGTGTGTCTGTATGCATGTACAGACAAACTCACATATACATCAATATGTATGTATATGTATATAAATATCTGTATACATGTATACATACATACATACATATATATATGAATTACATATATACATATATGAATATATGTACATAATACGCAACACAACACACACACACACACACACACACACAC